TCTGATTACACTGATTAATCACGCACATTAGTGAGCTCAGCTCACCGAGCAAGTTTACAGTTTGATGAGCTTTAACCTTCTTGATTTGCCATGTAGAAGTACAAGCTAACACTGTTTATTGGATTTTTCTGTTTTCTGTCTTCGCTCACCTCCCCCTTTTTTCATAGTTTGATAGTATATAAATAGATAGTGACTTAAACTAAAAATTGTAATGCTTATATTTCGGATGCGTTCATCTTTTAATGTTTTCTCTATTACCTTTCAAACATTGAAGTATGAAATGTCATTATTTATAACCATTGTAATTTCCGGTAGTTATTATGAAATAATGGAGAAGATTTGTAGCCTAAGTGGATGATTTTGATATCGGATTCTCGGAGCTGGTGGATTTAATTGCGAAGTTTTGGCCATCCTTCTGGACAACATCTTCAGAGCTGGTGTTAGCACAAAATGGACTTATTTTAATTCTTCATAATTGATGATATAACTGTATCTCCTGACAACCACTGTTGTGATTGGTTGCTCATTTACGTCTCTATTGATCATTTTTATTGATTTGGAATTCGAATTTTCTTGTCATGTGATGTTTTACTTTTTATTATCTGGTTAATTTGATCTATATTAATGCATTTGTTAATTGCTGATTCATTTGAGTACCAGTCTTGTAGAAATTCCCTGGCATTTTTCGTGTTTCCTCTACTTAAAATTTCTGCATTATCCCAATCTATTTGGTGTCCGTAATTGTCTACATGCATCGATATGAAAGAATACACATAACATGCATTTTCACAGCTAATTTATGCTTTTGGATTCTGAAGTGCCGGGAACGCCTACTTTGAGCAGTTTAGTGTTTATCGCAGTTTATTTTGTAGATGGTATTGATCTTGTTTTCTTCCGGTCTGCACAGTAGTGAATGAATTCATCGTGTTGGCTTGCGTGCTATATCAAGTTGTTATTTCAGAGATATCCTCTTTATGTATAGTAGAATGAATTTTTTGTGATCTTTGATGTTGGCTTATTGGTGGTGTTATGGCTCAAGCCTAAACACTTTCTACTGAAATTGTGGGGATATCCATTCATTTTGAAGACAGTCAGTAGGTATTTTTCCTCAATTTGTCTTCAACACCGGAGTGCTACAGTGTGTTTGAACTACTTTAAACAATGTCTGCACCCAGTTTATTCTGTGAGTCATTGGGTTATTGCTATTATAGTTGAATATTTGATGTGTGTATGTTCATCGCCTGTATACTTATGCTTCCAATTTTCAAATTCACGAAGTTATAAAATATAGATCACATGACAAGAAAGTTCAAATTCCAATTCAGTAAATATGATCAATAGAGACGTAAATTAACAACCAATCACGATAAAGGAGGTTGCCAGGAGATACAATTATATCTTCATTCATGGAGAATTGAAACAAGTTCACTCTGTATTAAAGCCTACGCTGAAGATGTTGTCTACAAGAAGGACGATGAAAGCTTCTCAGTTAAATCAGCCAGCTAAAAAAGAACACGACTGGACCGCAAACATGTTAGTTATTTCTTTATTCATACTGATAAAGGGAAGCGGTTGTATGATATTCCATATCCTTTCTCCCCCCCCCACCATACAGTTACTTTTGCTTTCATCTGAAGAAGATTTACCAGCGAAATGACTCTGCGACAGCTTTCTCCAGCCGACAACTTCTCTCCTTCAAAATGAGAAGTCTTCTCAAGTCTAAAAATGTGCAGTATTCTGACGTTTCTGGAGCGAAGAAGGTGATCGCAGTTTTACAGATAGGCTTGTTAACCCTGCAGCAAATTTCTCCAGGGCTCAAAACTACCTAGTGGAGATTAGTTTAAGATTTGAACCCGCCTTACCCAAGCTCATCAGATGTTATCATCTATAGAAAAGTGTCTTTCAATAAAATAAATTAATCGACGGAAAAAAATAATGATGAAGGTCACTGTTGTTTTAATAGTTTGCTCATTTTTCGAAATCTTTGTATATATATTTATATATATATATTTAAATTACACTTGGAGTAAGTAAATTGTAAAACATGAGGCGAAAATTGCAGAAAAAAGATAAAACAGGAAATCAACTCAACAATAGACTAATATTATTTTTTTTGTGTGCCTCTTTTGTACTTAAATGACAAACTTTTAAGTAGTAGACTGTTAGGCTCTCTTCGTTTGTTTTTCGCCGAAACATGACAGTGTAACTGTGATTGTAGGTGAGTAATTACGTAGGTTGATAGGTAGGTAGATAGGTAGATAGGAAATTAGGTGGATAGATAGATAGGTAAGGAAATTGGGCATAAGCTTGTAAGGCGGACATTAATCAAAACAAAAACAGAAAGAAAAGAAACAATCAAGGGGACATGAATACCAGTGACGACAGCAGCAACAACAACAATAGTAGGCTAATACAAATTTTTATATGAGTAGTCTATGTGTTATCTCTACTTCATGAAAACTTTCATTCCCCTCCCGCCACTGTGTACTCAAAAGTGTACAAATAAATTTGAAAAAACAGAAAGAAGATTCTGGACATCTAATATGACAATGCTTTTATTATCCCATTGTTCGAATTAGTTATCTTTACTTCTAGTAAGGATTAAGAAAGTATGAGATGATTTAATCCCATTTTTGGGGGGGGGTTAATTACTTGATTGCATTGATTTCATCATTTCTGTTCATTTCGCGAAGATGGTATAACCATAGTCATTAACATTTTTAAATTTCATAATACATGATGTGTATGAGTATATGCAAATATTATTTGTAAGTGTACATCAAGACGGAGATTCAACGGAAAACATACTGTGATCTTTTAATATTATCCAAACAAAATATACACACATTTAGAAGGAAAGAAGTAAAATGGATTCGACGAACGAATACAACAAGTTCAGCTATTAATAATATCACTGTCAGACGACAAGCGCAGGTATCCGAGGTTAACCGATTTTGGTGTATTGAGCGGTCAACAAAAGAGAAGGAATAATGAAGGGAGAAGGCGAAAGACTGTAAGACGACAGGGTTGAGAAGAAAGACAAAGACTCAAATATTAAGCACTACGTGAGTTCTCCTCCGATTGTGTGCATATTTAAGTGTCTATGTGTATGTGTGGGTGTGTAGACGTGAGTAAGAAGAATGCAGATGGACAATGAAGCGACGATTAACGTCTACTGACATCCAGTTAACATATTACTAGGAGTAATAATTATAAGATTAATCTCGGCGATATTTTTCAAGCAATTCAATGAAAATCTTAGTATTTTCTACATTAAAAGCATTGGTAATGATGTCATTAAATTATTATTAATATTATTATTGTTACTATTATTAATAGG